TTGACAGGAAGAAGCAAATAACAAGCATTGGTGTGATTAAGAGGATCAAAAATATGCTTCTGAAACAAAAATTGTTATACTAATAGAAACTGTTGTCATACTGTATCAACAACTATGAGGTACGAAACTAACTAAAATGTGTACAGTTGTTGGTGGTTTTATAACCGAAAATGAAAATTTTCACAATTTAAAACTAATATTCTTTAAATTTTATTACCCGGAAAAAAACGGAGGTTATATGGGGGAAAATTTTCGAAGTTTTGAAAAAATTCTATTGAACCCTTCCCTTTAAACATAGTCATTGCATGCTTTACTGCAAACTTGTCCATTTTCCCAATTTTTTCACAAAAATTTAATTTTTATGGGACAAAAGATTTTTTCTCTTTAGTAGTTGCATTCAGATGAACGATGTGTCCTCTTGTGAAATTTATAACAAAACTTTTTTGCATCCATTTTAAAGGCCCATTATGCCTTAAAAGCAATAATTTCTATTTCTCAAAGGCATTCTATTTTTGGTATCTTGTAACAGTTTAAAATAATACTCAATAATTAAAATAATAGATGGACTATCTTTTAATTCTAATACTCTGTTGGCAAGTGGCATGATTATATTTAATTAGTATTTGTATGGAAGTCAAAATACTACTTTGTTTACATTTTTCTATCTTTCAGACACATAACGGAATATTCATTGTTCCTTTCATGATTTGCTAAACATCTAATATGCTTTAAATTCATTACTGAAACATTATCAAACATGTGTTTGACATTTCTTAAGAATAAAAAATATGTATTTCTGAGGAATAATGTGCCTTTAAATCCATTTTCATACAGTTTTTTTCACCGAATGTTATCTTTGAAATAGTAATACATGTTCTTTTCTAGGACAGTTTGGGAGCATTTCAACGTATTTTCATAATTTAGAATACAGTTTCTTTGAATATGTACTGTTAAAAATTACGCTATTTCTTAGTTCAAGTGACATTATGCTTATTTTTTCTATATGTCAAGTTGAGCTAAATTGACTATAAATTTCAAAAGATTGACTATTATGATGGTGTTTGACCAACAGTTGGTATTAGATAAAGTTTTGGATAAAATATATATCTGCCTTATATATAACAAGAAGTATCTTTAAAAAAGATAATCGGCCGAACTAAAACTGGTTTATTTGCATACCGTATCTTAGGAAACATGGAAAAAGAATCATAAGAATTAAGATGTTGAGCCTCTAGAGTATTGAAGTTAACGTATTAACTTTTGAAATATTAAATGTTGGCAAATACAAAGCTTTTTTAATAGAAACAAAACCTTAAGTCTGAAGTAAATCCTTTAAAAGTAAAGAAGATATATATAAACAAGAGCTCCAAACAAAACAATTTTATTTCGTACTCAATTTTTTCGTCTCAGTTCATTTTTACCGTCACGTGCTTCTTTTATTTCTATTATTATGAATGTTGTTTCAGCTCAAAGAAAAGTATTTAAGTTGTTGAAGTTTTTTCCAATCGAAATTTTAATTGAAAGTTTATAAATGACAAAATTGTGTTGATACAAAATACAAATGTACCCGAATCAACAGATTTGCAACATTTTTGGAAATAACAAATCCGAAGAAAGAACCAAAAGAGAGTCTTCTTATCTAAAATACTTAGGCAAACGTTTATTATAAACAAACCATTCAATCGTTAGTTTTTGTTTGTTTGATTTTACGCCTTTTCTTCAATCGTTAGTGGTTCAACAAATACTTCATGAATATGTAAAATGCAAATGGGTAAAGGTTGCGCTACAAATCGAGTCGGTTACAGTGCCTTCCCCTGATAACATTGCAAATAGCGTAAGGGTTCAAATGAGATGTGACTGTTGCCCTAAAAAAAGAGTCGGTAAGAGTGAACTCCAATGTAAACATTGCAAATTGCGTAAGAGTTCAAAAGGGAGGTTACTGTTGTGTTTGTTAAAAAAAAGTCGGTTAGAATGACCCCTGAAAAAATTGTAAATGGCGTATGGGTTGAAAGAGAGGTAACTATTGCGCTCAAACAAGAGTTGTTTAGAGTGATCTCCCCTGATTAAATTGCAAATGGCGTAAGGGTTTAAAAAGAGGTAACTGTTGTGCTAAAAATAGTCAGTAAGAATGACCTCCCCTGAAAACGTTGCAGATGGCGTAAAGGTTCGAAGGTTGGTAACTGTTGCGCTCCAAAAAAGAGTTGATAAGAGTGACCACCCATGAAAATATTGCAAATGGCGTAAGTGTTCTAAAGGGAGGTAACAGTTGCGTTCCAAAAATAAGTCAGTTACAATAACTTCCCCTGATAACATTGCAAATGGCGTAAGGATTAGGTAACTGTTGCGCTAAAAATCGAGTCAGTAACAGTGACCTCCCCTGAAAACATTGCAAATGGCGTAAGGCTTCTAAGGAAGGTAACTGGTGCGCTATAATAACAGAGTTGAATAAAGTGACCTCCCCTGATAACATTGCAAAGGGCGAAAAGGTTCATAAGGGAGATTACAATTGCACTTTAAACTAGTCAGTTAGAGTGACCTCCCCTGAAAACATTGCAAATGGAGTAAGGGTTATAAAGGGAGGTAATAGTTCCGACCAAAAAAGAAACAGTCAGAATAACCTCCCCTGATAACATTGCAAATGGCGTACTGGTTCTAAGGGAGGTAACTGTTGCACTCAAAAAATACTTGATTAGAGTGACCTCCCCTGATGACATTGCAAATGGCGTAAAGATTCTAAAGGGAGGTTACTATTACGCTAAAAAAATGGCAAGAGTAACCTCCCCTAATAAAAATGCAAATAGCGTACGGGTTTTAAAAGGGAGGTTATTGCTGTGTTAAAAAGAGTCGGTTAGAATGACCTCCTTTGAATAAATTGCAAATGGCACCCGGGTTCAAAGAGAGGTAACTGTTGCACTCAGAAAAGAGTTGATTAGAGTGACTTTTATTTCTCCTAATCTGGACCAAAACACCTTTGTTAACGTCAATTTTTATAGATTTTTCGACCATGCGACCACATACATGCATCGAGGACATTTTTAAAGGAAAGTGACCGTGCGACCACAAACACGCATCACAGGATTCCCCTTCTCTTACGAGAAAGGGACAAAGTGATGTCCGCCCTTTTATTAAAGGGCAGGCTTAAAAAATGCCTTTGCCTTACGTTATTGATAAGGAGGCTAATTTTCATAAATATGTCTTGAATTGGTTTATATACAACATTAGTTACGCGAACCAAGCGGGTTATCAGTAAACGTCTTTTTAAGTCCGCTATGAAATTTTAAAAAGATCATATTTAACTTCTTGGAAAATTTTGAGTTTAAAGTTTTTTCTACTTCTCATTTTTTGTATTTAACAGAATTATTTTAATTTTGCAAAATATGAACGTTTCAAAAACGTTTTATATGCGTTAAATATTGGAGATATATTTCACACGTTGTTTTCACATTTTAACCTGGGGGCATTTTTTTCGAAGTGCTGTCCAAGAACGATAACATGAGCGTATGTTTACGTAATAAATTATAACAATGCGAAAACATAGGTCCTTATAAATGGAACAGAAAGTAAAACGTCATATTTTCATGAGACTTGATAGCGCAGTAGGCAGAGCGTCCGTGTCGCATTAAGATGTTCGTATCATGGTTAGGTACGATTACATTTTCAAGAGTACTCGTATTTTATGTATCTTTTTTCTTGTTTGGCCAGTTTTGTTTCAAATAGTTACAAATGCATGAGATAGAATATTTTTTGTGCACAGATTGATCGTTTCGAACATTTGGTGTTATTCATATGAAATTTGATAAGGCTTTCATCGTGTAAACGCCATTGCCTATTAGTGTAATGTGCTGGTTTTGCAAAGTTCCAATTTTATTTTAACATGATTTATTATTTGAGCGGCGTCACGACAAAACCAACATAGTGCGTTTGCGACCATCATGGATCCAGGCCAGCCTGCGCATCCGCGCAGTCTGATCAGGATCCATGCTGTTCGGTATCAGTTTCTCTACTTGTTATAGGGGTTTGTAAGCGAACAGCATGGATCCTGATCAGACTGCGCGGATGCGCAGGCTGGTCTAGATCCATGCTGGTCGCAAACCAATTATGTCGGTTTTGTCATGACGCGGCTCATTTATGTTTAAATGTTTTAAAGGACGGAACTTATTCAATAGGACATTAACTGAATACATGTTGTGAGTCGAATATAACAGGCAATTTTAGTAAGATACCATTTTCATGGCATTTGTATGGTAATTTTGTTACCAGACACGATCCATTTTTTGTACAACCCCCTTTTTATTAGTGATTTTTTTATAATTTGATAATCAAAGTTTTAAAAAATATTACGTCATATCCTAAACAAAATAAAATGGTCAAAATGTGTAAAAATAAGCACGACAGAAACAAGACATTCAGCCAACGGTGAGAAACAAATGTCATAACTATACGTATACAATGTCAGAAAAAATGCTTTACTAATTTAATAATGACCAATCAGAATTGTAAAATTTTTACATAAATTTAGTTCTTCTCGGTAAATTTAACAGAAAGTCAATCTGAAACAAAAAGACTGCCCCACTCTTTTTATTAAATTGAGCGTTACTGGTAATTCCGATGGATGCATGATAAACTGAATGGAATATGGCAATATTTAAAGTTATTTTGACTTTCACCTGTTTACTCACTATAAACCCTTGGATGGGCATAATGCCACTTTCAGTTAAATATAAGTATTGTGTTGACAATTACTTTTAAAGTTTGTTAGTTAGAAAATCGGTCTATTGCTGTTTTATTCACGCACAAAAAAGGTCTACGTTTGGTATCTTGTTTTAAGCATTGTTGTGTAATAGACCTTAGTTCATATGTTTGTATGCTTTTCGAGTATAATTCAAAGCATATTTTTGTTTTATTTGATTTTTTTTAAAGGTTGCTCAAATATATAATAAACGATTCTTTGAAACTTAAACGTTTTAATAAATCAAATACAGTATCTGACTTGTTACAAGATTTCAGTCTGAGATAAATATATTTTTAAAACAGAAGTAAAATCACGATAAGAAATATCACATTCTTAAAGCAAAGCACGAGTTCTTATATCATTGTCATCCACTTTTGCTGATATTTGAGACAGTCGAAATGTGTACAATGAAAATGTTCCGAAAACAATAGTCATCCCTTTTGATGTCTATAATTCTGCGACAAATATTCTTTGTCTTACAGCCTATAAGCTATTAAGGTCCATTGGATCATTATTTTCGTTCAACGTAGTGACTTGGAAGTTATCTTTTGATAATTGCCGTGAAAGTTATCTTTGTGTACAAATGCCGTGAAAGATATCTTTGAGATGTGCCGTTAAAGTTATATTTGTATTAGAAGTGCCGTAAAAGTTATTTTTGAGAATTACCGTCACGGTGGAAGTTATCTCTGTGTTCTCAGTATTGTGTAGGTTATCTGAAAGTACCGTGGATTTAAGCCGTGGATGTTATCTTTGTTTGGGATCTAGAAGGATATTTAGATAGGAGAGCCGTCGGAATCGCCTACATAAGAGCTATTGTTAAAGCATACTGTGGGATAGTACGACCCGACGCTCATCTGGGAGTACCGCCGACATGTTGTTTTATTTAGTGGCTCGTAGGTTCCGTCATTTTCATCAAGTCGGTATAAGGGTTTTCTCTCTAACTCTATCCAAGACCCTGGAATTGAAGTTATATAAATTGCATATTCAAATTAAATATTTGAAAATAAAACTGCATCAGAATGTCACAAACAAGTACATGTATAGTAACATTAGATATACAAAATTTCTTATTTAATATCCGTCCTGCACACAAAGCGGGTATGGATGTGAGATAAGCTTTTCAATAATATTTCGTAATATTTTAAAAACATAAAAAAGAATGAGTCAAGTCGGCTAATTCTGTATGGCAGTCTTATTTCGTACGCTTATTTTCTTTAACATTAGGGTCATTGAAGTAAACATGCGTTTAGTGCATCATTTAAGTAAATAACTTTTCATTTTAGCAAATGTTTCTATTGGTAAATAATGAATTTCGCTAAATATTTAGTGCAAATTCGCAGAATCTATACGGGCGCTAATCTTTTTAAGTTTTAAGTTTTTTGTAACGCATTTAACTATATTTTCTCTCATAAAGGGAAAATAACTCTCTGAAAGTTATGTTTATTAAAACATTACCCATCCTGGAACAACAATCCTCCATACTTAGTGCTGAAGATACCCGCCGACCATTCAACCAGTATATTTTGTAATATTTCGACATATCCTAAATAAAAAAAAAAAACATACAGAAAATTATAAACCAAAATTTCTTATTATAGTTCACATAAAGAGTTTAAACAATGACATCCTTCAAGTATATTCTTGTTTTCATCAGCATCATCATTACCATCATCATCATCACCATCATCATCATCATTATCATTAACATCACTATCATCAACATCATCATCATCACCATCACCACCACCATCATTATCATCATCATCATCATCATCACCATCATTATCATCATCATCAATCACTATAATTATTATCATTATTTTTATTATTATTCTGTGAAATTTGTTTAAATTTGACTAAAGTTCAATCTTCTTTAACCAGATTGGCTGGTTTGAAAACAAAATAGAAATACAGTGAAACCTCGACATAGTAGCTTTATGCAGAGCAGTAACCACTTTACAAAACCAGAATCGATTCTCCCAAAAAAGATTTAACACTGAATTTAACCTCGGTAGAGCGACACCTCTATGCAACAACCAAAATATGTGTATCCAAAATGGTGTTGCTATGAAGAGGTCGTGAGGGAAGCCGTGGCCTAGTCATAAAGGTGTCTGTCTCTAAACCTAGGAGTCCTCCTCGGGTCACGTCAATGTTTTCAAATTTGACACCAGAACTGGCTGGTTCAAGTTAGCGGACTTGCAAGTGATTAAATTAAGTTGCAAGAACTTGTTTCGAAATCGAGCTTGTGTAAATATGTTCAAACTAGAGGTTTAACTGTATATATAATTACCGGTATTTTAAGGTTGCCTCTGTAGTGCAGACTGTAACAATCGCATGCTGCTAGTAGTTTTTGTGTCGTTTCACTTACTTGTATCATATTAGCTGTAAAATACATGTATATGTCTATAAATAGATTCAGTGAACGCTATAATAACAATATATAATAACAATACATATAATAAAACGCAATAACGGCGCGTGCATCATACAGATACCAGAACACGTTGCCTGGTTCAAACCAACAAACAAAATATTTTAACGCATAATTGCGTTCTTAAATTTGTACTACTATCGTATTTCGATTCCTTGAAATTCCATATCAGACATTTCCTTACTTATCTTAAAAAAAGAAAAACTCTTACTGTGACGAAAGTCTATAATAATAAAAAAAAAAAGGAAATAGGACACACCGGGAAAAAAATGCTGAAAAGTTAATATGAGGTCAAAATGCCTAAAATTTGAAATTATTACATGCTATAAGATCAAGTAAAACATTCAAAATGGAAAAATCTGAAAAGGATAATAAACAAATACATGTATACTCAGAATTAAATTTAAATTTACATCTTTTATTGTGCGATTCTTAGCGGGATTTCAATAAAAAACGTTGCAAAGCTTTTTAATTTTGGGTAATTTTCGCACAAAAGTATTTTTCTAGAAAAAAGTAAGGGAATGATCAGAAGTCATTGATCACGACCTGCATCAGATAGAACACAAATCTTGGGAATATATTTCAAGTCCCAATATGCAAAAAAAAAAAATGAGTGAAGCCCCTTTAAAACCACTCACGAATTGCTGCCTTGTGAATTTGTCTGAGTACTGTGAGAGTAGTGCCAACTATTTTCAGCTGCACGGTACCGTTGTGAACAACCAGTCGTCCGTAGCATGGTCCTGACAAACAAAGAATACAAATGTGTTACAACTTTAATACATTAAAACAAGCTCATGTTTTCGTACAGAAACTTTTGCATATCAAATAGTTTTTCATTCAATCAAAGACACATATTAGATGTTCCTGATTCATTATTTTTTACACGGGTTGTTGCTGGTAGTGTTGTCTTTTGTTGTATTTTTAGTAACACGTTCACTGTAAATGTCATATATCGACTTAGGAAAAAGGACTTTACGTGCCCTTCGTGCATTATTTTATGCACGAGTTATTACCTGAGTAGAACATACGACATTCCGTAAGCTATAGGTGGAAAATTTCCTAACATGAAAGAATCTGAAGAGCCTGGTGGGATTCGAACCAACAGCGGTCAGGGACAAGTTCTTAAATGAAACATCTACGCAGTAGAAATATTATGATACTGCAAAATCGATAATTGGTCGCACATAATATGTAAATAACTAGAATCTTAAATAAATATTTACGTTTCTTCAAATCTTAATACCTTTTTTTCAAGTTTGATTTTCTTGAAAGAGTTTGGCTCATTTGGAGGCATGCAGCTTTTATGAAAATAATAGAAGAATCTTCTGACTAACCTGTGTGAATGGCAAGTTTCATCTGAAGTTTAGATTGAGAGTGTCGGCCAATTTCTAGATCACTACAACACGTCATTATATCTATAGCCAAGTTGGCTATCTCACATGCGTTCCGCACCTGCTTCTTGACCTCCGAATCTGTAATAAATCGAGATTGTTTTGAAGGCTTTTAAGTGGCACAAAGACAGCGGCCATGGCGCCGTTATATGTCGCAAAGCCGCTAAATGTCCACTATCGTCGCTAAATGTCGCACCATTGCCGCTTAATGTCGAGTCCGTCGCAATATGTCGTAAAATCTTCTGGCGCTAAATGCCGCAACAGTGACGTTAAATGACGCACAAATGGGGCACCAGTACAGATGGAAAGTCATTGTATGACCTTACTGTGTTGGGGTGGCGTTTAAATGTGTAAAACCTAATTATCCTAAATAGGAATTAAAAAAATATTAGGAGAGATAAAATTATTATTTGTTCCTTGTATTAAAATCTTATTAGAAGTTACAAAGTTCAAATCACGTTTTTATTATATATTTAGGTATTTGGAGCTGTTTTTCTGGGGTTTTTTCTAAAAGGTATATGAATTCTCGTTGTTTATTATTTTGTATTGCCATTTGTGCATTGATTTTGTGTTTTGTGTATAATGTATGTGTTTTTCTGTATATTTTTGTATAATGATTAATACGCATGCTTTAAATACGTTTTATATTATATGAAAATGTCGATGAGCTGTTAATGTGCTGAAGACTAATAAAATATATGTCATATGTTATGTTATGTTATGTAAAGTCCTTTATCATAACCTCTCGAGCAAGGACACGAATGTCAGCCATTGTAAAACACTTTAGAACTAACAATTATATTAACTATTTAGGTGTGAAAATTCAATTGCATTACTCAATTTCAAGTTTACTAATGTGATAATGTATAAAGGTACTTCCGAAATAATCATAAATCAGAGCAGGCGCTGTGGTGCAGTGGTAACACTGTTTGACTACAAATCAAGGGGTTGCGAGTTCGATCCCCCGCTACTCCACTAAAAATACTAACAAACTTTCGTATGAAAAACTAATTACAATTGTAATAATAATAATACTGACACACAGGACACTACTGACACACAGGACACCACTGACACACACAGGACACCAATGACACACACAGGACACTACTGACACAAACAGGACACCACTGACAAACACAGGACACTACTGACACAAACAGGACACCACTGACAAACACAGGACACTACTGACGCAAACAGGACACTACTGACACAAACAGGACACCAATGACAAACACAGGACAGTACTGACGTACACGACACTACTGTACTGACGCACAGGACGCTACTCACCCACAGGACACTACTGACACACAGGACACTACTGACACACTACTGACGCACACAGAACACCACTGCCACACACAGAACACCACTGACGCACACAGGACACCACTGACAAACACAGGATACTACTGACACACACAGAACACTACTGACACACAGGACACCACTGTCACACACAGAACACTACTAACGCACACAGGACACCACTTACAAACACAGGACACTACTGACGCACACAGAACACTACTGACACACACAGGACACCACTGACGCACACAGGACACCACTGACGCACGCAGGACACTACTGACGCACACAGGAAACTACTGACCCACAGGTCACTACTGGCACACACAGGACACTACTGACGCACACGACACCACTGACACACACACGACACTACTGTCACACACACAGAGAGGACACTTCTAACGCACACGACACTACTGTTACACTAAAGACACCATTGACGCACACGTAACTACTAACACACACAGGAAACTACTGACACACATGAAACTACTGACACACACAGGACACTACTGGCACACATGACACCACTGACACACACAGGGCACTACTGACACACACAGGACACTACTGACGCACACGACACTACTGCTACACACACACAGAGGACAATTCTAACGCACACGACACTACTGTTACACACAGGACACCATTGACGTAAACGACACTACTGACACACACAGGAAACTACTGACACACATGAAACTACTGACACACACAGGACACTATTGACGCACACGGCAATACTCACACACAGGACACTACTCACACACAGGACACTACTCACACACAAGACACTACTCACACACATGAAACTACTGACGCACACGACACTACTGTCACACACAGGACACCATTAACGCACACGACACTACTGACACACACACAGGACACTACTGACACACACGACACTACTGTTACACACAGGACCATTGACGCACACGGCACTACTGACACACACACAGGATACTACTGACGCAAACGACACTACTGTTACACAGGACACTACTGACCCACAGGACACTACTGACACACAGGACACCACTCACACACTTGACACTACTAAAGCACTGACCTGACACACTTGACATAAAAGACACTTCTCACACACAGGACACTACTCACACACAACTCTATTTAAACACTGATCTTACACACAGGACACTACTCACACACTGACACATAGGATAATACTCACACACACTGACACATAGGACCCTACTCAACCACTGACCTGACACATAGGACACTACTCACACACTGACACATAGGACACTACTCAACCACTGACCTGACACATAGGACACTACTAAACCACTGACCTGACACATAGGACACTACTCAACCACTGACCTGACACAATGAACACTATGCACACTACGTACACAGGGAACTATTCTCTTACAAGCCTAACACACAGGACACTGTCACACAGTACCTTACACACGGCGAACATGGCCCACAGGGCACTTCTCACACAGAATACATGACTTACAGACCTTGCAGCCACTATGTTCGAGAATAATATTCGCGTGAATATACCAGAAGGTGGTTGTTTTTCGAACTTTGCATGCTTTCCCCTCAAAACAGAAAGAATATTTCCGAAATAAACATAATACTTCTGTAAACAAAGATATAAGATGATATAAGATAAAACCTGTATTTGTTCTGTATCTATAAATTTTAGAATGAATTTTGATCATGTTTTAATTAAACTAGTGACAGCAAAATTGGATGAATAGAAATTTAGAAGAGAAAGAAAAAAAAGTAATAGGATATTTCAAACAAGACAAGTAACCCCCAGATCTTTAATACTATGCCATTTCCTTATTGTAATTGATAAGGAGGCTAATTTTCAATGATATGTCTTAAATTGGTTTACAATAGTAATGCAAACCAAGCGGGGTATCAATTTTCGTCCTTTTAAGTTCGCTATGAAATTTAATGAAGAATATATTTAATTTCCTGGAAAATTGTAAGTTTACATGATTTTCTACCTTTCATTCCATGTATATAATAAAATCTTTTTATTTTTGCGAAATATGAACGGTTTTTTTTTTGTTTTTTTTGCGAAATATGAACGGTTCAGAAACGTCTTGAATGCATTAAATATGGGAGATATAGTTCACACTTTGTTGAAAATATCTACCTGGGGGCATTTTTGTCAAAGTACGCGTTTAATTTCTACATTCTATGGTGGCTTATTTCTGCCATTTCGTGTCTCCGTGTCTTTGGCCCTAAAAAGTCGAAGGCGAAGACACAAAGACACGAAATGGTAGAAATAAATCACAATGATATTCGCCTTATAGAAAAGGTATTCAGGGGCAAAAACACGACGACTCGATAAATTGGCCTGATGTCCTAGCTCCAACTCACGACATATGGGTTGCTTGGTGAAAAAAAACCGTATACATATATGTTTTATCACCAAGGGGCTCTTTGGTATAAATTATGATCGTCATTTTTAACTGACTAAGATGACTTCAATTTTAACCAATTATTTTGTATATCACAGCAAATTCTTTTCTATCTGATAGATAGCTAGTCCGCAGATCACTTACATAACGTTGATATTGACATATCATCACATGAATTTTGATATTGCGACATTTAACGGTAGTGTTGTGACATATAATTTAACGGTAAAAGAAAAAGGTGCGACATTTAACGTCATCATTGCGACATTTAAATATTCAAAATATTTTGAGACATTTAGCGCGGTTGTCACAGTAAGCGACAATAGTGCGACATTTAGCGGCAAGTGCGACATTTGGCGTTGTTGCGACATATAACGACACCACAGCGACTTTCCAGCTTTACTCGGTGCATTATTTCAAGCACGAACGGGCATCTGTGTAGAACCAGCGACATTCCTTAAGCTAGCTGGGCAGAATCCAATATCCCTGATAGGATTCTAGCCAACAAAGCTGAGGGACAAAACGTATGAACATAAATACATTTATCACTCGACATCGAACGCCCCAAATAAAATAACGACAACAAAATTATTTACGCAAGCTCAAGCTTCAAAGTGCAATGTACTGTACTAGGCTAGCCTGAAAATCGGTGCCGTGAGTCAAGGTTCTTTAATATTTTGAATATTTAACAAAAAATACAACAAAAAACAAACTGATACATTGTACTCTTCAGCCGTCACAGCTAATAAATGGCTTCCAAATCATAAAATTAATATTATATATATAATAGTGGGATATGTCCGATGTGACTTGCGCGTTAACTGTCAGTTTTTATTTGTTTAAATTGACGCAAAGTTAACTGAGCGGAATATTTCGACATTGGCAATGAACTTACTTATTTTCTACAAAAAGCTGTACACTCATTGAATGAACGGAAGTTGCCGAGCTCTTAACAGTATGTAAACAATCATATTAAGCCGGCTGAAATACTTTTTGATCATCCGGCAAACCTATGCCAGATTAATTATTTATAAATAAACGGAATTTGAAAATATATAATGTATTTTTTTTTTACAAAAATGGTAAGATGTACTTTATGATATTTTCCAAAACAAGATGATTATAGTTTGATCACTGTGAAACCAATTTAGTGATTTTGTGACATTAAAATAGCTGATGATTTATTGGTAATGTCAAGTTATTATCACGTTATAGACCCTTTCATTTAAGACCGTTTTCAAGTTGTCGCCCTTGGATGACGTCATTGGGGGATACGGCGGACAATGCCGATACGATTAAGTACACTAATAGAGGGATATAAAGGTCTTAATCCTTTCTCTTGTAAGATTGGCAGATTGAAATTGCCAAAATTGTGTGTAATTGAATAATATATTTCATAAAAAGGATGGTGAAATGAATAAAAATGTTTACTATAATCATGGAGTTGTATTTATATCTGTGCTATAATAAGGTTAATGATTTGTTCTAATAGTAGACCATATTGCTGGGTTACTGATCATAATTTTCATTTTCGTTAGATTCTTAATAATAATGATAAAATCTTACCAGGCAATTAAATCGTACTTACTTGCTAATACCAGAGATATAGATTATGTATCATATGTCTCTGCTAATATACAATACCCAAAAGATATTTTGAGTTTCAAAAATGTAAGGATTCTGTCGTTTCGAAAAAACGGCGGCGTAATAATTAATTGCAAGATACTGGTTTATCAAAAATCATTTTGATTTAAGCATAACTAAGACAAAGAAAAACAACAATATAAATATATGTAATTTCAAAAAAAAATGTAAAGGCATAAAAAGTAAAAATTATTTTGAATGTACATGAATGTATACTATTTGTGTCGGCAAAAATGCACTCTCAAAAATCGTACATCACACCAATATATTTAAGCTGGTAAAGTAATATGTTCAACTTTCATACTCTGCTTATCAAATATTTTTTAAAAAAAGTTGTGAATACGTTCACAGAAATTTGTTCTTAACTGAATTATAATTTTACGTATATTTGACTGTGCCAGTGGGATCGAGTATCAAATCAGTAGGGCGTGGCAAATAAAGTCCCTAGGATGATCCATAACAGAATTCGGACCATAAATATTTTGACAACTAACAAAAGTGACATAATCTGATGTAATTGTTATAACTCTAAAAAAAATGCACCCTGGTGATTTATGATATCACAGCCAAGTGCCGCTTGTATGCACCCTGTTTATTAATATGTTACAGCACAGTGGCGCTGAAATCTATTTATCTATGAAATAAGTTACTGGGGAAAAGGTCTTTATTCTTATAATCATAAGAATAGATTTTTAATTTCAAAATTATCTTATTATCGTCTGGTGCGAATCTAACATTATAAAAGACATTGCCACATGGTTTTCGTTCTTTCCGGAATATTTATAAAATTATCTCCTTCACTAATTCTTTGAAATATTTTTTTTGTACAGCATAATGAAAAGAATCAGTAAGTATTGAAAGAATGCATTCTGTTATTGTTCTATAAAAGCTTGAAAAACAATCATTACAAGACATTGGCTATCTTATTTTCATGTTTGTCACAAATACACCGGAATTTTCTAAATGAAAGAAAATAACACAGGAAACTAGAAAATGACCACTTAAATTTATAATAGGCAATTTCAATATGTATGGGTGTTTTTAAAATATTAAAATTTGATTTAGTTATTAGCTTTTTATCCTGGAATTTATAAGAGAAAATCTAGATCTAATAAATATATTCACTTTTTTTCACTCCGTAGCGAGAATTAATCTCAATCTTTGTTTTTGTATTAAATTTTCTTTTGTCTTGATATTGAATTTATGTTTACATGCGTTAATTTTTACATGTTATAATCATAATTGAACAGTCACTATTTACGCATTTAACTTTTCAATAAGCTAACATTCTATGCGGCCTGCATAGTTTTATCCCCCATTTACGTCACATCCGGTAAGGGAAGTAACTCTTCCCAGACTGTTATCGCTTAAATGAAAGGGTCTTATAAGACCCTTTCATTTAAGACCGTTTTCAAGTTGTCGCCCTTGGATGACGTCATTGGGGGATACGGCGGACAATGCCGATACGATTAAGTACACTAATAGAGGGATATAAAGGTCTTAATCCTTTCTCTTGTAAGATTGGCAGATTGAAATTGCCAAAATTGTGTGTAATTGAATAATATATTTCATAAAAAGGATGGTGAAATGAATAAAAATGTTTACTATAATCATGGAGTTGTATTTATATCTGTGCTATAATAAGGTTAATGATTTGTTCTAATAGTAGACCATATTGCTGGGTTACTGATCATAATTTTCATTTTCGTTAGATTCTTAATAATAATGATAAAATCTTACCAGGCAATTAAATCGTACTTACTTGCTAATACCAGAGATATAGATTATGTATCATATGTCTCTGCTAATATACAATACCCAAAAGATATTTTGAGTTTCAAAAATGTAAGGATTCTGTCGTTTCGAAAAAACGGCGGCGTAATAATTAATTGCAAGATACTGGTTTATCAAAAATCATTTTGATTTAAGCATAACTAAGACAAAGAAAAACAACAATATAAATATATGTAATTTCAAAAAAAAATGTAAAGGCATAAAAAGTAAAAATTATTTTGAATGTACATGAATGTATACTATTTGTGTCGGCAAAAATGCACTCTCAAAAATCGTACATCACACCAATATATTTAAGCTGGTAAAGTAATATGTTCAACTTTCATACTCTGCTTATCAAATATTTTTTAAAAAAAGTTGTGAATACGTTCACAGAAATTTGTTCTTAACTGAATTATAATTTTACGTATATTTGACTGTGCCAGTGGGATCGAGTATCAAATCAGTAGGGCGTGGCAAATAAAGTCCCTAGGATGATCCATAACAGAATTCGGACCATAAATATTTTGACAACTAACAAAAGTGACATAATCTGATGTAATGTTATAACTTTAAAAAATGCACCCTGGTGATTTATGATATCACAGCCAAGTGCCGCTTGTATGCACCCTGTTTATTAATATGTTACAGCCCAGTGACGCTTAAATCTATTTATCTATGAAATAAGTTACTGGGGAAAAGGTCTTTATTCTTATAATCATAAGAGTAGATTTTTAATATCAAAATTATCTTATTATCGTCTGGTGCGAATCTCACATTATAAAAGACATTGCCACATGGTTTTCGTTCTTTCCGGAATATTTATAAAATTATATCCTTCACTGGTTCTTTGAAATATTTTTTTGTATGGCATAATGAAAAAGAATCAGTAAGTATTGACAGAATGCATTCTGTTATTGTTCTATTAAAGCTTGAAAAACTATCATTAAAAGACAATGGCAATCTTATTTTCATGTTTGTCACAAATACACCGGAATTTTCTAAATGACAGAAAATAACACAGAAAGCAGAAAATGACCATTTAAATTTATAATAGGCAATTTCATAGTGTATAGATGTTTTTAAAATATTAAAATTTGATTAAGTTACTAGCTTTTTATCCTGGCATTAATTAGAGAAAATCTAGATCTAATAAATATATTCACTTTTTTCACTCCGTAGCGAGAATTAATCTCAATCTTTGTTTTTGTATTAAATTTTCTTTTGTCTTGATATTGAATTTATGTTTACATGCGTTAATTTTTACATGTTATAATCATAATTGAACAGTCACTATTTACGCATTTAACTTTTCAATAAGCTAACATTCTATGCGGCCTGCATAGTTTGGATTTAGCTCAATACAGGATTGGAGCAGTACCTCTAGACGCTTGCAGAAATCATGATCACAAAATAGACAAATATCGTTTTTTTCGCCGAATTTTACATTTTTCCTTGATTATCGTACTTGATTCGGTGTAAAAAGATGAATTAGACCTGTTAAAGTTCATTCCGTTGGGTAAAAAGACAAGATTTTAGCATTTTATCATTCAAGCGCCTTGTCCGGTATATACCGGAATACGGTATTTAGTGTGGTGCTCCAATCCTTTTTTTAGTCACAGCCGCATAGTTTTATCCCCCATTTACGTCACATCCGGTAAGGGAAGTAACTCTTCCCAGACTGTTATCGCTTAAATGAAAGGGTCTATAGCATGTACCTGTATGTGATATAGATTATAGGCATCATTTCTATTTTGTATTGAACACGGAAATTGTCGAACTATACCGGACTTTCCCGAACTTTTGAAAAACGGTAAAAATGAATGCACACTGATGTTCTAACCTGACAGAACCAGGAGGTATTGACCCATTCTTGCAACCGGAAACACGTTGTACTGTTCCATCCTCTCGTCCAATAGCTCCATGACCAACGTAAGGATATGTATCGTCTGCGGCGCAGTGAACATGCTGAAGAACTTTGTATAGCCTGCAATACTGACCATGAAAATGGTGGTGTCCGGTGCTTCGTATGGGATCATGTTGCTATGGTTATCCACATTCACCTTTCGCACGAGAGTTCTTGGTATAATCTGTAAAATATGCAGACGTATATTATTTGAATGCATACCTTTTTATGTACTTTATTTCTATATTAAACTTTTAAAAACCGATATCAAGTGACAGGTGCTCCACTTATTGGTCAAAATTGCTAAGCATAGTCGTAAAGCCATTTAAATTCTAAGAATAATGTTACATTCAGAACATCTCGCTGTAGTATGATGGAAAGTACCGGAAAGATGCGAGTGAATAAAAAAAATTTTTTTACCCGAGTAACTACTTGGTCAGTAGATTCACGTTGTTTATCCACACGTGACGTCACACCTTTCAAAATGTCCGACACGACAACCGCAATTTGTATTTGCTCGCGAAATATGAAGATAAAAATAGATACACACGCCGCTGTCGTTCCGATGAATATGAGCAACAAACAAAACAAAATGGCGGAAATTGCAATAGTCTTTTTGCAGCTGCTGAGTATGTCTTCCATCAACTTGATTTGCTTTCCCCGTATTACCGCAGACAGGTGTTTCAGAGAGGAAGTCTCGTATTTAACAGTGCTATTCCAACATGTTTCGTTCATGCTAAAATTCATAGAATGTGAATGTAAGTAACAGAACAGGTCGTATGTGCAAGAGTAGGAACACGCGCTGCCTGAATCCTCGTCCGTCTCACATAGCACATTTTTGAACTTTGATACAAAATTTAGGGTTTTCTCCGCGTTTGTGTCTATTTTGAAACGTTGAGACCTTGTCTCTAATAGTATTAAAATGTTTCGCAGGATTTTCACCTGAAACGCCTTCTTGAACGAGGACATATATTTATAAAGTGATTTCCATTTTCGCACTTCATCTAATTCGAACCCTCGCTGAAAAATCACTGCACTTAAATCTGAAGCAAAGTGCATATAAAACTCTGACTCTGCGACCACTTCATGAATATCTTTACTTCTCCAGTCAGTAATTTGACTTATTAATTTCCATTCGACAAGTGTGTTTGTATCGAGCACTTCGTGCAGTTTTTCATCGGTTCGGTGATAATCGCTCGACAACCGGTCTGACTTTTTTTCTGGTAACGATATTCGTTTGTTATGCTCGTGCAATAGGACAGCCATGCAGTTATCAAGTGTTCCAAGTCCTGTTAGATAATTCCTAGTCTGAAAAAAGACCAAAGAGAATGGAAAGAAATCGGCAAGCGAAAAACTAAAAGCCATTTAGCTCGTTCTACATGGAAATACTTTAAAGGTATTCTAGATCCATCTTTTGGTGATTAATTTAATTCTTATTTTGTTGGCGGCAACTGATTTTTCTCGATCCATCTATTGGTAGCTAATTTAATCCTTCCTTTGTTGGCGGTAACTGATTTTACCTGTGCGACCAGTGCAGTCCCCTGATCCTGGTCTGCAGTGCTCGCTATTCAATCAGTCGCCACATATTTTAACATTTTTCTCTAAAAATGATGAATGGTTTTGTCCAGATTAAACGATGGACCAGTCCATTTCAGATATTGAGCATGGTAAGGGTTATGTGCTAGACCAGGGTCTTCTATTTGAAAAACCATGGCTAGACAGACAAATCGAGACAGAAAAAATAACCTCAGAAGAAAATAAATTACCTGGATACCAGTGACCATACCCTGTCCAGCGTCGACCAGGTATATCAAACTGTAAACGAGGCTCAGTATTGCCAAGATAGCACAAGGAAGTGCCAGTTCCAAGAACTTTTTCCTGTTTGCATACATTTTTCTCTGCTCAGTCTGGACATCATCTTAAATAGCAAAAGAAAAAAAACGAGAGCATTTGATGAAAGGGATATTCTTGATATGAAATGAATGGAAGCATGTTCTAGCAATCGCATTTTCTGCCTGTTCTTTTACATTTCGCTATTTTTTATTTATTCGTGTATAAAAAGTCTTTAAAATTCGTTTTTGGAACCGGTCTATTTGGTTGTGGATACCAAAATAAGTTGGTTATTCTGGAAAGTAATGTTTTACAAATTATAGTTGCCTTAGATATACATTAATTCATTTCCATTACTTACGTAACCACTGCGTTTAAAACAAATTGATTGGTCAGGTTGTTACAATTCTATTTGTCGTGTATTGGTTATTTATTTGTTCGTGTGTTTGTTTCTTTGTTCGTTCGTTCATGCATTCATTCATTCATTCATTTATTTTCGTATCAAATAGCATTTCCATACCTGGTCTGACTGGTGTTTCGTCCAGTTTGGAAAGCATATCTTCGAGGTCCTTTTGTGTATTGACTTCAACCCGAGATGGACGAGTGAACACAGAAAATCGCGTTGTCTGCCACTGGTTAAGGCTTGTGTTCATAATCTTAAACATATACTTAAAGAATTGATACATACACCTAAGAATTTGATACATATACACGAGGACTTGATAAATATACTAAAGCATTGATACATATACTGAAGGACTTGCTTCATATATTTAAGGATTTGATGCATACCCTAAAGGACTTGATACATATACTTGATTTGAGACAAATTCTTGATACAATTATACAGTATTTACTACTATTTTATCTTATGTTTTTAATTTAAAAATGTGACGCTTATTTTTGCAAAATAATGGTGGTTTTCAAAAGTTGATTCACTAATTCCACCATGAATTAGTATGAATGATTTTTACACCATCCGGTCCCTATATCTAGCTATTCCAAAGAAAAAAAATGCAGTTATCAATATCGATTTTGGGTGCTGTATGAAGCAGAAATATTTTCAGCAGCGGCCGAGAGGTTCAAGTCGTTGAATTACAATAACTTACCATTCACTGTTACGGGTTCGAATCCAACTAAGAACCGTAGAATTAACATGAGAGGAAGCTATCAGGGCTTCCGTTAGTGGAAGTTTAGGAGTAATTTACTTTTTGATTTTAGCTTGTGATTTCAAAAATGTATGCTTTTCCATTTTTTACCTATATAATGTGACTTCTAATGTTGAACATTTTGCACTGCAGCTATTGAGTAAGCTATCCAACTTAATGTGGTTTACTAAAGACCGATTGGTCAATGTTGATCACACATGCCAGAAATAATCCTAGGGCAACCATCTGAAGTCTTACTAGAAAATTGCAAACTCTGTTCAGTTGTGTACATGTAGCGTAGCGTTATTTATAGGAGCTGCCTTAAATCAGATTGAGATTTGTCTTGTGGATTTGAATAAATGTCACATCAAACCCAAAAATAAAATTTACTAGAACACACAAAATTAAAAAAATAAATAAATAAATAAATAAATAAATAAAACGTGGATAAATACCTGAGATAAAGGCGCGTGTAGCATCTGCTGTAAGCGTGTTCGGTCCAGGATTGCTTTTAAAAATTTATCGTTATTAAAACAAAAATATCTACGTTAGCTTTAGCTATACACTGCTTTCTCTGTCGTTAAATTTATCAAAATTAAAAGCGCATGTCCGTTACATTTTCTTTTTCTTTTAGATTTAGTCATTCCTTTTACATTGTTTAGTTATTTTTTGTGCAAAATATCCATAAAACTGCGATGAGCTAATGTGGAAATCCAGAACGTTTAAGTTAGTTTTACATAATATCCGTTACCAAGTCAACGGTAGACCTGAAATTATCATCTTTTATAATGGTGATAATTTTGAAGCTATAATAGATGTTGACCGATAATCATGATGGATTTTTCCAAACGCAAGACGTATAGATAAAAATTACGTGTTAAAATGACGTCAAAAATTATATAAAAAAAATTCGGTGACGTCGTCGGTAAAATTTACATAATTAATGTAAAGGTAATATTTGAAAATTATGCAGATGGAACTATTAACTGTTATTTACAGTAAGGACAATCCTGGTTTGTTTGTTGTTGTTACTTTCTAATATCCCACAGATAGACGTGTGAAAATAACAACATAAGTAAACAGAAAACTCGCCGTGAGGTCTACCATCACATGCACAAACGCATGTTTTATATATTTAGATATTCAAAACATGGACCTGATAAATACCCTGCTGGAATAGCCCCATAATAATTCAACCAGACTTAGGAACGTACATAAATACATGTATATCATTTAAGCATTCAGAAATATTTCCTGTTCAAATTGTGCAATTGGACCCACATCACATGTACACCGATCGATAAGACAACGGACACTGATATACCAAGTTCGAATCCCGTTTCGCGTGATTTGTTTTACCGTTATTTTCAAGATATTTGTCGGGTCCATGTTTTGAATATCTAAAGCAACGCTCAAATGCATCATATAAAGAACATGATAAAAATGATTGCCATAAACATAATGATGATGATAGTGGTGGTGATGATGATAGTGATGATGATGATGATGATGATGATGATGATGACGATGATGATGATGAATTTAAGCGCCGCTTATTGTTCATTCTTGTGATTATACATATCTTGCGGAAACATCCGAATCAGTCACATCTTGTCTCGATGCATAAACTCGCGAAACTTATATGACACAAATGTGTCGTCTGCAAATTTCCTGTGATTGTGTCATTCATTTTTGTTTCTGATGTTACTTAAGTTTTACATATCTCGCAGAAACAAACTAAATTACATTTGAATTACATAAACCTGCGAAACACATATGCCACACATTTGTAGTCTGCAAAATTGCTGCACGCATAATAGTGTCATTCACTGTTCTTTCTTGCGCCGTTAGCTTATCATTCAGATACGAGAGAATCCTTCACCTTTTGTCCTGAGACATCATAGTTTAGAATCCACACGGGTGATGATGATCTTTACTTATTTCCTATGTACGCTTGTGCGTCTTGCTAAGAACTGGCAACAAATGTCACTGTGACTATAGTGATGCACCTATGATTGAATGAAATGTATCATCTGTCAGCTTTCAGAACAAGTGTAAAATTCTGAAATCGTGCACGCCCAGAGTCGTATAATGCACGAGCCATTTCAAAACAGGATTGAACCCGTGAGATATTTAAAGAAAACTAAAAGGAAACCGTGATGGACGTTATGGGATGTAATAGACAGAAAATGAAAATAAGGATGCGTATCTCTTTTATATAAAGTAAATACTGAGCAATGGCTTTTTACGGCCATTCAAGTAGAGCTAGACTTTATTCTTAAGTGTCCCGGGTACCAAAACTAATAAGCAATAAGATACGCTGAAAATGATTTTATTGCTATGTATACATCCTCAACATATCCACAAATACCCTAAAAGAATTCGGGTGATCTGTTCTTGTCAATTGTTAATAATAAAGTCATATGAAATCCATTGGCCAGTTTGATGCTTATTAACACCGCACTTTGGGGTCCAATTTTGACCCCAAAGTGAGTTACACAGGTACATATGCATTTTTAACATCAGACAAACGGCCTAAAAATTCAATCAATAAAAAATGAATTTTCATGATGTTTAAAAGTCAAAGCCAACGGTAAACAAAAAATCAAGGTATCGAATTCCATAAAATCGGATAACAATAGCAGATTATAAATAGAGAATATTCAAGTTTTTTCTATAAATACATGATTTATTTTCATCGAGTGGTATGCCACAAGATGAAAATAAATCATGTATTTATAGAAAAAACTTGAATTTTCTGTTTATTATATACATTTTTCTCTTTTTTGACATTAAAATTTTAAAGACTTTCCCTTAAATTTTGTGTACTGGCAGAATTTAAAAGAAAGTAGTCCGGCAAGACACCAGTGAAAATACGGAAAATATGTTTCACTGCAGTGAAAAATAAATTTTTACAGTGAAAATACGGAAAATGAAAATACGCATTTTATTTCATCAAAATTTCTCAATATTTCATTTATAAGTATATAATAATTAATTTTATTTTGTTAAATCTAACGGTTACAATTGATTATATCAGATATTCATTTATGTATCTCAAAGAATAATGTGTCCTGAATTATAGTAGAATCAAAAGGTATTTTAAATGATCTTGTTCAGTAATTGAAGAACTTTCATCAAATAAAGAATTTGTATCAATTAAAAAGCTAAAAATATTTTTTCTCACATTTTCGATTTTTTTTACAAAAGAAATGTACACATTTCAAGAACTCCGTTGTTTTTAGCTAATTGCATAATTTTCCCGCTTTTTTGTTGACAAATTTTTAAAAAACATGATAGTTTTAGCATAGACAAAGGTATAAATACTGGGCGATCTTAATAAGACACTTCAGTAAAAAAAAAAGTGTGCCTAATTATACTGTATGTTAAAAGGGCCATTTTTATTTACCTTATCTAAATGTGACATGTAAGAAATTTGACTAGATTAAGCAGTAGTCTGTACACAGCAGTACTCAAAAATATCATTTACTATTTAAGTAGTCACACATTAAAAGCGGAACTTTATAATGATGTAGAGTTCTCACTGTGGGATCTAGAGTGGATGATGCCGTGTCGAATCCCCCGAGATTATAAAACGTTTTAAAGACCCATTATTCTTTAAGTTGTATTTCTCAAAAGTTTTCTTTTTAATTTTCGTGTACTTCTATAGTACCCGAAACATTACTCATTGGCCAATTACTTGAACCATCTTTTTCATCTGGCGCTTTTTGGCAATAAGTACACTTATAGTGAATAAGTATTTTGTATAGAAGTCAAATACCTCATTGTTTACCTTTTTCTACATTAATGACAAATTATTTCACATTTGTCGCTACTTTTTTCAGTTAACAAGCATCTTACATTTCTCTGATACCATTATTGAAACATTATAAAATTCCTGTTTGCCTTTTTTTTTAAAGAAGTAACTTTTATATATGTCTGAGGCATAATGTGCCTGTAAGTGAAAACTCAATAAAAATTGACTTTATCACTGAAAGATCAAGGCGGACACCCTCTGTAATATGATTTCCCTGGCAAAAAGCCTCAGGCAAAAAAAATGAGCTTAATATTTATAGTTCGATCGAGAAACTTGATATTTCACCAGTACATTACAATAAAGTATATTTATAGTTCTTTGGGGAAAAAATTAACTGCATTTTATACATGCCCATCATTTTTAAAATCGGGTTCAATATGGTACCAAAAGTTATCAAGTAAATGGCTGACAATAAACACTTATCACTTAAGCATCAATTACATGTATATTTTTTATTACTGCTATATCAGAATTTAAAGATTGATGTATATAAGTATCAACCGTCGTCATGAACTCCGCCCCAAATATTTCAGTGTCGCAAATCGAAGAAAAGACAGTACTCAGTATTTAAGCAGAACTCAGTTGACACCTTCAGAACTCTGGAACCCAAAGTTCGTTGATATGTAGCATATCAACGTACTTTGGGGTCAATTCCTCGATTTTGACCCCAAAGTGCGTTGGACCCCAAAGTGCGATGTGAAGTGTACCGCACTTTGGGGTCTGAGCCTAAAGTGCGGTAACTTTGGGTGCGGTGTTACAATGCTTTACTTCTGAGAAGAAAACGAATCGTTACAATAGTGATTCATTTAAAGGCCCATTATGCCTCAGAAAAGTTATTTTTTTTTATTTAGAAAAAGATTTTAGATTATTTGTATCTTGTTAAAGTTTCTGAAAAATGAATTGTTGGTAAAATCCTAGTGTATAAGTATTTTGTATATATGGAAGTCAAAATATTTTGCTACCTTTACAACACATTACTATACTGCACACACAGACACAGCACTACTTTCTATCTAATATGCTCCAAATGAATTATCAAAATTTTATTAAACTAAAAGAATTTAATAAATATGAATTTCTGAGGTATAATGTACCTTTAATAATATGTGCAAACACATCTATAATGTACCTTTAAAACATGTGTATGTGCATAAAAGTATGACATTGTTATATAAAGAATATAAAGTTGTGAAAATCGTATTAAATTTGGTTTAAATAAGTATATATAACAGTAACCTTGGGGTCTTCAAATGTACTAGATAAAAAAAGGTTATCAAGGACACTAACCCATGTAGCCTATACTGTATTTAAAATCTTTTTTCTCCTTGTCATACGATTAAAACTAAATGTCAACACTGTCTGTGTAATTATTTTTTAAAAGTTAAACAATAAAGAACTACTTGAATAATCAGAAGAATACACGTTTCAGGACAAATGCACTTAAAAACTAGTGTGTAAGAACGTGAGTGCATCGAACCATTTCAAAACAAATACTTCGGTTATTTCCGGTTATTTTCATAACATCTTTTCGGCTCTTTCCGTCAAACTTTGAACAATAGCCAAGTTGTTCCGATTGTTATCACATATTCGGTAATTTCCGACGAGGTCACGATAAGTTACGAAACTGTATATTGATTATACAACGCCGTTATGTTTACGTACAGTTCAGGAATATATAGTGCGTGTTTATGCATATTGTAGACATCATTCTGACGTGAAAAAGGAAAAACAACAACAGAAAAACAACAACAACAAGAAACATGGAAATATTTCCACATAATGAAAAACATGACTTTGATTTAGAACTGGTGCTTGAGGCACTGAAGAGGTGCCCATGTGAAAACGGGGACATAGATTTGCGGGAATATCTTGTTGCTTACAATGAATTATGCAGGTAATTTTTACAATAATTATTTTTGTTAAAAAATTTCAGACAATTTTATAAATAAGACGATTTTAATGTTTTTGTAACCGGAATCTAAAGTTAACTCATCTTTTAGATGATTGAGTAGATCTACTCACAAGGATTTTATATGACGAGTTTAATGTTAAAGTATCTTTTTCACATAGTACTTAACTTATCATGTCTCTGACGCAGGAAATAAGTGGGACGTTTAAAGTTTATTTCATTTAAATGATTTTTCCTGTTTATGAAAATATATCATTAGATCTATTTCTGCTTATATAGTCTCATGATAATTTTAATTATTAATGGACACAAGTATAGATCTTTCAACATTCAAAATGTACATGTATATTACGACACTGTCATACCAACATTTTTTTTAGATATTAACTTGCATCTAAATGCTACAATAATTAGTAAGAATTCATGACACCTTGGTACATGTACATGTATTTTTTTCACCATCGCCAGATACTGAGATAGTGTTTAATAAATTTGTAAAATAGACATCTATCTTCAATGTTGAATTTGCCCTCAAAATTTGTTGTAAATGAAGCAAATTATTTATATACCATCTTTTTCCTTGCAAGTTACTGATTTATATGAAAGGTGGTTTTGAAATGCTTTCAAAAATCGGCCCTTTAACTGTTAAACATGTGCTAACGTCATGTTTTGTTATTGTTTCAGTTCAGGTTTATCTGTTCAAGTAATGTCGTCTGGAGAGTTCATGTTCTCATTATAAAATCTCAAATCACGTGAAAAATCAGTGATTTCATCTATAGATTTGTTCGTGATTAAATCGTGACAGTTTATTATAATATGACTGATCAATCGATCTCGAGGGGGGGGGGGGGGATGAAAATGTATTGATAACATGATCAGATGTTAAATTGACATAGTTAGCCCACTGAGTCGTCGTTTTTTTTTTTAAACATTTATCTTAAAATTGTATGTTGTTCTATTTTATCTTAAAACATGAATTAGAGCAGTTGAAGTTAATAGCTGACATTTTATGACGTTTATTTCGCCTACATACCATCATTTGTATAAATAATTAAATATACATTTAATGCATTTAAAGGGTATTGGTCGACAACGGACAGATTTTCAATATAAATTATTTCAAGTATACAACAAAAACGAAAGCATCATTTGGATATTCTTGTAATTTATATCTTGAAAAAAAAAATGTATGTAGAATTCTAAGTGATTTAATATGTATATTTATATTATGATGATTGATATGATAATATTTTGTTCTTTAATATTTTATTATCTGTTTTTCAAAGTTGTGCTATCTGGTCATGTATCTCACACTTGCCAACAACATCCATACGTAATTATTTCGTGGTTTGTCTCTATTATATATAATTCTTTCAACATTTTAATTAATATTAATCCAGATGACCCCCCCCCCCCCCTCCCAAAAAAAAAAGAAAAGAAAAAAAAAAGAGAAAAGTAAAAAAAATCACAATTCAAGTAACGATTTACGTGTTATTTGCAATGAATAAATAATTTTGCAATATTTATCACGATATTTTTTACCACGTGACTAACACATTGAGGGCTATATTTTTGCATATTTTGACTTTATTTGATAATTTACATGGATTGAAAGTGCTATTTGCAATGTGTAAATTGCTGTCTTTGTTCATTTGACAATATTTTAATTTTTAATATATTTGAAAGTTAGTATGAATGCTTTAAGGGCATGTAAATTGCATATCACGCCAAGGAAGGAGAACCTGAAATTATTTTTTCTTTTAAGAAACAACATGTAAAGTATGGTATTTTCACTTACATGCAATATACTATATCACATTAACAGTACTTCAGGTCAAAAAAACTAATGTAAAGAATAACATTTAAGAAACTATAACAGAACAAAGATAAAAAAAGAACCTCAGAGAAATAAAAATAAAAGCATTTCAAGGGCGTTTAAGTACAACACATTTTATAAATATATACTCAACAAACAGGCGACTTAAAGGTTTGTTAAAATGATAATTATAATGTCAAACACTCAAAACAGTAAACGTATATGTAAGCCTTTTTTATACGAATTTTGGATCAATTACAAGTAACACGAAACGACATGGATATTTTTTTAGTCATATTTGTTTGAATAAACGCAAATCGTGCCGATTCAGACGATAATTCTTTGTTTGTATAAATGTAATGGGTCGTGTATTTTTAAATATTTGTTTTAGATTCATTAGTCTATATTTCCATACTAATTTTTAAAGAAAGGTCAAGGTCTTTTTTTTTATTATCACGATTGCTGTAACAAAGTGTCTGCACAACTCGCTCCTATTTACCAAGGCCGAACATATTTATTAAATTAAATCACCATTTGTCCTAAATAAAAAAATCAATCTAATTCAAACAAACAATCAATCAAGCAAGCAATCGGCAAATCAACTTAGTGCACTTCTTTTGGAATTTGTATTACATTCTATATCCGGGTTAGTACGAAATACCGGTGGGGACATTTCAACTTCATGAATTCCCGATTCCACCTTTAATTAAAAGTCACAATTTTAACTTCCGTCTATTCACGTTTTCACCATTCGGAATTCACCAACCACCGGTCTTTCGTAACTTAGCTCAATGCTTACCATTTCCCATTTCAGTTTAAAATTTACATATTTTTTACAAGGGGTTTTTTTTCTCTTTTTTTTTTCAGATTTTTTCAATTGAGGGGAAAAGGCTTTTTTGGTTTTCGTGGGCCAAGGATTAGAGAAAAAGGATATTAGTTTATAAAAATAAAAACAACTTTTCAAAAAAAAGGGGAAAAACCCAATTAAAATACTGCAGAAAAAAATAAATTCAGTACAAAATTTAATTGCCCAAATCATTGCGCACAAAGGTTCAAACAAATTTAAATAAATTCGGGGAACCCAAGAACATTTTTAAAGGGACTTCAGTGGTTTTAAAAATTCATTCTCGAATTTATGTCAAGAATAAGAAAGTGCTCCGACCTTGACAGAACATCAAAAATAGCAACGGAAGTTTACGAACAAACGCTTTCAAAGCATCACCCTTGGTTTACGAGAAAAATGGCGGCCATTGCTGTGTACTTGTTACCGTCGCGGAAGGATTTGATTCACGTGATGTGTAAACAGGAATACCAAACCGCATTACAACTGTTGGATAAGGTAGTGACAGCGGGAAGGCATGTGTATGATTTAACAGAGAAACTTTATAGTGACCATGACCTTCTTTATATTCCGTGATTAACTACAATTTTGTAAATCAAAAAAATGTGATATCCGATGCAATCTAGGGCACAAAATACTCATAAAGTCATTTATATACTCGTCAAACTTCCGGAGTAAGAAAAGTATTTTAGGTATAAAATACCGGTAACCATGACAATGAGACGTCTTTGATTTATTGCATACTCAGTATTATTGATTGTTGTACATAATAGTATTATTGATTGTTGTACATAATTATTATGATGAACTGATCAGTTAAAAGTCATTGACTGAATTATTAGAAATCCATTCGGAGTATCTCAGGCGATATCTTAGTAACATTATACATGATTCATAAATAAATATATGTTTTATTAATTTTTTACAAGATTTAATCAATAGAATTGTGCCATTACAAGTACGTTGTTGATTTGAAAGAAAAATATGAAAATTTAAATTAAGTAATATTGATTGATTCTTTTATTTCCTCCAGTTATGAAGAGCAGAACATACATTGTAACATGTTCAATCATTCCTTTAACAGTATTAATATTAACAATAGTGATACTTTTAAATTTATATAGAAAAGAAAACAACCAAGAAACATTGTAAAGAATAATACAAAGAATATTACAATAAATTAAGCAAATGTGGTGTTTTGATTTAAAGTATGTCCATAAAACCCCAGGCTTGTCCAAGAGCGAAATAGACAAGAAATGACTGATGGATATTACTATTGTACCAACATCACAAAAACCATTTCTGTTATAAGTCATTGCCACTAATATTACTTAAGATCCCAAACAGTCAAAATTGCACAAGTTGTTCATTTTAACACAAATCATCGAATGTCTTATTATATTAATAGACACAACAAAAATATATATGCATATACAAAATGTATACTACATGTACTCAACTTTTGCTAAGCGGGTAAATATTTTTTTTTGGATAATTTTATTAACGCCGTGCGAAAGGTTTTTAAATGTTGATTTACTGTTTTATCAATTCAGTTGAAGGACGAATTTAACCCTATTTATGAGTTTTACATTGATCATGTGCTCGAACATGCAGCGTGTTTTCCAAATTTGTTAAATTGGATATTTTGTTTACAGTTTTAGACTTAATACAGTGTGTGTGACACATGACTATCAATGACAGCTTGTCAGCGCCTTCTCGTTCTCCCTTTTAGGTTTCTAATCGTTCTAACAGTTATGGCTGCCCATTCTTGGACCAACATGGCTCCAAGCTCCTGGATATGGTTATGGGTTGGAGCTGACGAGCTGAAATTCTAACCTGAAGCTTATTCCACGTGTGTTCTATTGAATTTAAGTCAGGTGAGCGAACTGGTCAGTCCATGCGCTCAATAGACTTCCTCTCTATGTACCCCTGGACTACTCTGGTCGTATGGGGGCGAGCATTATCGTCCATTATAGTATGAACTGATCGCCGACTGCTCCAGCATACAACCTAACCTGGTTGTCTAGGATGTCGTATATGTATCGCTTACCTGTCAATGTGCCTCTATTTAGCACAATCAGGTCGAGCCGATGCCTCCCAACACCAAAACTGATCCACCTCCGTAGCGTTCATGCTAAGCAATATTTGCAGCCTGAAACCATTCACCTCGTCTATTCCAGACTCTAGCAGGCCTATCTGTGAAGTTTAGACAGAAGCTGGACTCATTAGTGAGCAGAACGTGTCTCTAGTGTTGCATGGTTCACCGTGTATGCTCCATGGTCCATTCCAAACTGGCCTGGCGATGTCGACGCGTCAAGGGGATACGTGTGCAAGGTCTTCTCGACCGTAAATTACCTTCATGCAGCCTTCTACGTACCGTCTGCGTGGAAACAGGACCCCACAGCATAGGCAAGGTCAAGTCGAAAACCTTGCACGACTACTGCACCATCCCTACAACCATACATTACTCTGCTTCTCTAAAATGGAGCCTAATATTAGCATTCGCCATATCGAAATGATAGATGTTAGATATGTAAGCCACTGAATTAGGCCGGTAATGTCTGTGTCAAAAGAAATGTGATTGTACACCCATCAAAAACATGAAAATATTGGGGCAGCATACTTTCAATGTTACCTAGACGAGTTGTAACGGATTAGTCAACGGATTCATGTCAAGGGACTATCTTATAGACAGGACTGATTTTAAGAATTTGGCTCCCTATAAGATGCTAGAGGCATTTTGTAGTACAAGTGGTATCTTGGTGTATTTTACCTATTTAAGGTATGCTGAATCCGATAAAGGTGGATACCAAATTGAAAAACTTGATCTTGACCATTGAAATGGCCATTTAAATGGCCGCCAAATATTTTTATCATAAATAGCAAATGTATATAAATATATATATATGTGTAGCAAATAAAACTTTTAAGGAATGGAAAAGCCTGAAATTTGCCACAAAGCATGCTCAAGTAAAAACAAATTAGACACCAAAACAGATTAAAACAAAAAATCCAATATTGCCGAAAAATCCAAGATGGCGGACATTTTTATAGGCCAATATAGAAGTAAATTTTACTGAAAATTTTAAGGAATTTACGCAGCGAACACTACACTTTTCCCTGCCCTATCTGCTTTCATGTATTTTATCTGGCATATAGAGTGGCTTCTCAGATTCCTATTAAAGGCATTTTTCTCTGATTACTCTGGTGTTGTGTTCGTTTTCCTGTTATCGGTCCTCGTCGCAGGTCTCTTGTGAGTTCTTCTGTTATTGCTCGTGATCTTCGTTCTTCTGTAATCGGTCCTGGTCTCAGTTCTTTTGTTGTCAGATGTTCTGTTATCAGTCCTCGTTTCTGTAGTCTTGTTGTCAGTTCTTCGGTTATCTTCGTTCTTCTGTAATCGGTCCTGGTCTCAGTTCTTTTGTTGTCAGATGTTCTGTTATCAGTCCTCGTTTCTGTAGTCTTGTTGTCAGTTCTTCGGTTATCGGTCCCTGTCCTATTCTGTTATCGGTTCTCGTCTTCATTTTTTCTCCGTTCTTCTGTAAGAAGTCCTGGTCTCCGTTTTCTTGTTGTCAATTCTTCTGTCATCGGTTCCCGTCTCTGTTTCCGTTGTCTTGTTGTCAGTTCTGTTATCGGTCCCTGTCTTGTTCTTCTGTTATCGGTCCTGTCTCTGTGCGCTTGTTGTCAGTTCTTCTGTTATCGGGCCCTAACCTGTACTTCTGTTAGCGGTCATCGTGTCTGTTCGCTTGTTTTCAATTCTTCTGTTATCAGTCCCTGTCTCTGTTCTTCTGTTATCAATTATTGTCTCCGTTGTATTATTGTCAGTTCTTCTGTTAGCGGTCCTCGACTCTGTCCGCTTGTTGTCAGTTTTCTGTTATCGGTCCCTGTCCTGTTCCTCTGTTATCGGTCCTCGTCTCTGTTCGCTTGTTGTCATTTCTTGTCTCCGTTCTGCCTTCTGTTATCGGTCGTCGTCTTCAGTCTTGTACTGTCGGTACTTGTTTCCTGATCCGTTAAGGTCTTCTCTTGTATCTATCGTTGACGTCATTCTGTGTCGATGTCCTGGTTTTGTCAGTCATTTATTCGTTCAGTGGAGTAGCGGGGGATCGAACTCACGACCCCTTGATTTCTAGGCAGACAGTGTTACCACTTGCACCATAGCGCCCGCTCTGAATAAAACCATTTTTGAAAGTCCTTTTATACATTAAATACTATTTCAATGGCTAACAAAGGGTGTATTACAATTTATATTTTAACACCTCTACTATGTAGCCAACCCACGTGACTTTTATATATGGTCAAAGAAAATATTACTCGATTTATTACAAGTAATATTTTTATAGATAACTTTGCTGTTACTTTAAGATATCCTGGAAATTTATTGGAGGGTACCCGGAATTCTAATGTATATCAAATGATGTGATAATCTTCTTGTAGAAGAAATGTATTTTTCAGACTGTAAAAATGAAACAAACAAATTAAGAGACGATATTTGCTGATTGGTAATTTGGATGTATAGAAGTAAGTTTTCTTCTTTTTATTACTTTTGACATTTAAGTTATTTATCAATTTCAGCTTTGCTTTTCTCTAAACAGCCTAACATTGTCAGAATTGTCAGCAAAAGTAAAATTGAGGTACCACATGGGGAAAATCTTAAGACAGTAGTTTCTTCATTGAAAAGTGTGAACTTATATTTTGATAATTTTCACTGTGAAATTATCAAATATAATTTTCACGGATAAATCAGAAATCCACTGAAATGCATAACATAAAAAACTATAAAACTAAGTTAGTGAAAGTCATATCTGCTAAAAATGTAAACACTACCGTTACTTCAGCAGTAGCACAGCCGGTTAAGTGATTGACTGATGTGTGAGAGGTCTATGGTTCGATTCCTACTGTTGCCTTTTTTAAGGCCTACTGTTTGTTTGTTGTTTTTTTTTGTTACTTTTTTTTTGGGGGGGGGGGGGTGCAGTATATATTTTAATATTTTAAAACACTTTTTGTCTCGGTTTGTGTTGTATTTATAGCATTAAAATGACATTTTTTGACATTTCAAAATAATATTTTATATTAATTTTAAATCATAAATATCATAATAAGTGCAAAATATTTGAAAACAAAATGAACAACTTAAAAAAATCATAGCTACAAATAATGTTGAAAATTACGGAACATCTGAAGTGACATTTTCCACACTTTCTCCCGGAATTGAATTCGTTTTTTTACGAGATAATAATTCCCAATTAGAAATATTATTTCGTTTTAACGAAGTATAAAATCTAAATTACGAAATATTAATTTCGTTATTACGAAAATATTAGTCCGTAATTACGAAATATTAATTTGTTATTACGAAATATTAATTTTTTGATAATATTTATAAAGACGGATTTAAAACTGAGTTTATTGTTAAATATAAGTCAAGTTAACAAAACATAAAAAGTGATTTTTTTTTCAATCTAAGTCATATACCTTAACGCGCTAGTAAAACAGTACTGTTTATAACTGTTGATTGAGCCATTAGGCTTATAGTCGTTATATTTGGTGGCCAATCTCATTAAAATCTGATCATATTGAATAATCATTTGATTTTGACAAGAATAATTAATTGCATCATATTGTATCATAGTTTTAATGACATATTTTAGTATTTTTCAGCGGCCATTTTGAATTGACATTTTGAAGGTTAAGGTCAATTTTATTTTCTTGGTATCCACCCTCATCGTCTTCAGCATACCCATATTAGGTTATAACATTCAAGATGTTACTTATACTATAAAATGCCTCTAGCATTCATATTTTCTTAAAATCAGTCCTGTCTATTATCAGAATTTTCAAAAATTGGAAAGAAATCTGTTTTATACTTGTGATAATATAAAAATTAACATATGGTGTTTAGCAAAAATTGAGTAGTATATTTATAGGGCAATGTTTCGGTTTTTTGTATCCCCATTTAGCTTATACAGAATCATTTTAGTCCGATTATATGAAAAGATAAGGTTATAACTTGTAAATCGATCCTGGTACCAACCAGTTTTGAGCAAAGAGTGTAAAGTTTCTTGCTCAAAGATACAAATAAAGGTTTGCACCTGGCGGGGTTTAAATCCATCCGGCTAGCATCCTTAGATTACAAGTTCGACGCGTAAATTGCCACTTTTTACCATGTTTTGCTTCTGAATCAAAATGATTTCTAAAAATGAATGTTTGATGAACTAGTTCAAATTAGTTAGTCATAATAATTACGTAGGTGGTGTTATTTAAAATTTTATTTGAATGAAAAATTTTAAAAAAATTTCTTAAAAAGTTTAAAAACACTTTTTGGGTTTTTTTTTTAATTTATTTTTTAAATTTTTTGGGAATTTTAAATTTTCACCAAAGAACTCCGGGGTTTTTCAAATCCCCAAAACCCTTTTTGGGAAAAATTGGGGAAAGGGCAATACAAATACAGAAAGAGTAAGTTTTTTTTTCAAGAGTCGTTTTATGACAGAACCTGATAAGTACGGAAGAGCATTAGTGCCAGGTGTATGTTTTTTATTAACTCGAAATTTCGAGTTACTAACTCGAAATTTCGACTTACATATCTCGAAATTTCGAGTTACTAACTCGAAATTTCGAGTTACTTATCTCGAAATTTCGAGTTACTAACTCGAAATTTCGACTTACTAACCCGAAATTTCGACTTATTAACTCGAAATTTCGACATATTAATTCGAAATTTCGAGTTACTTATCTCGAAATTTCGACTTAGTAACTCGAAATTTCGACTTAGTAACTCGAAATTTCGACTTACATTGCACGACTTTCATTGGTTGCCGGTGAAAGCAAGGATTGTCTTTCGTGTGTAGCTGTTGCACATTGACAGAGCACCTTTAACATTTATTTAACGGAACCATTTAATAGGGTCAAATTGTCCACACATACAGAACATATCCTTCGCTTTGTTGTGGAGGGGGGGGGGGGAGTTGTAAAATCACACTTTCCACATTTCCGTGTTAACCGGATGTTTCTTTTTCTTAAGCACACATACAACCATCAATTGAAGAAAAACCAGTCCAAAACCCACCCTATTGTAAACTGTGCAATATCATGTGTTAAATAAGTTTTAAATGGCGTGTATACGCCAGTTAGTCTGTCACGTTTCTTTATACTAATAATGTTTTTGTAACATTATTCATTATTTACTAATACTTTGATTCATATTGTGTTGATAAAAGTTGATAAAAGTGGAACTTGTTGTTATATATATGTTGGGAATAATATAAAAGCATCCGATTTTACAAGAAATATAGTCAGTCCAACAATTTTGACAAAGGCCTCAGCACGCCCTATTTTGCCCACGCCGCGATACTTTCCTCAGATGTCCCACACGTGAAGTACAGGATCGTTTTATTCACAGGGATGAGAAGAATATGATTAGTGAAAAGATATGTTCGAACAGATGGGATACAATATAACGTGTGAAGAACGCCTGAACTTACAAATTAAAGGAAGCCTTGTGTTTTTTAGGTCGGGTGTGTACATGCCATTACTAAGTTTTCCGTTTCTCCATCTCCATCGTTCAACGGCACTCCCTACTATATCTTATATTATCTAACTAATAACTTTGGCCATTCCTGTAATGTTAATAAGTCGAAATTTCGAGTAACTAAATCGAAATTTCAAGATAAGTAACTCGAAATTTCGAGTTAGTATGTCGAAATGTCGAAATTTCGAGTAAATAAGTCGAAATTTCGGGTTATTAAGTCGAAATTTCGAGTTACTAAGTCGAAATTTCGAGATACTAAGTCGAAATTTCGAGATAAGTAACTCGAAATTTCGAGTTAGTATGTCGAAATTTCGAGTAAATAAGTCGAAATTTCGGGTTAGTAAGTCGAAATTTCGAGTTACTAAGTCGAAATTTCGAGTTAGTAAATCGAAATTTCGGGATAAGTAACTCGAAATTTCGAGTAAGTAATTCGAAATTTCGAGATAAGTAAGTCGAAATTTCGAGTTAGTAACTCGAAATTTCGAGTTAATAAAAAACATACACCTGGCACTAATGCTCTTCCGTAGATAAGACATATCAGCCTGAGAAAAAAATATGCTACGTCATATTCTATATGCTTTTGAATCATGATTATGGATATTCTCTATTTGGAAAAAATGGTCTTCATTTCCAGTGCACAGATAATACAAATATGGCCGTTTACTAATACAGTTGTCATCCACATTCTTTTAAAATAATTTAAAAAAAATATGTTTTTAGATATAGAATATCGGAAAACAATGGATATGACTGGTTGAAAACGCTGATTTTATACACGAATCAAATCTAACCTTTGTCCTTGTGGATAGTGAGTCAAAATGAGTTGTTGTTCCGCAATAGAAATTAAGGTCAATGCAGTGTTTAAATAATTGTTTTTGGCACACATTGGAGGATAAATTGTATCCGAATCATTTGTCTGGAATTTCACTTTGCAAGGTGGAAGTTTGCTTATCCAAAATTATTAAGCCAGAGACTTATATTAGATATCTACATTAATTTTGAATCAAGCCTAGAATACATACAATTGACTTGTGCAAAGTTATACACGCGCATTATACTGTCAAACTGCTTGAACGAAGACACCTTTGTATATAGCATAAAATATATTGAATCCTTCATCATTCATTTAAAAAAAATATGTAGTTAGACCATAAATCTGACTTAACTTCTTACACGCGAATCTTTCTTTCAGATGCTTCGATCCTTTAAACAATGCAAACATGTAATTTTGTTTCCTTTTCCCTATAAGAGAAATAGTGAAAGACAAAAACTTGATTACTTTTTATTACTGTTACTATAAAAGTCTTTTAACATTAAATAAACGGGAAGACATTGATATCAAGGCAGCACATAATCAAGTTCAACAAATAATGTACTAGCTAAGAGTTTTGGCCAAGTGTGAGACGTATTAGTTAGATCTAATAGCCTGTCAATACTCCTGTCAATGTCGATAATCAAGAGATTGCGATATCATAGGTTTCGGCAGGCAAATAAAAGAAAAATAAATGAGGCTATAGATAAGACTTTTGCCAAATCCGAAGTAGGCTAACCGAAAAGATGCTATTGTTAGTAATTGTCATGAAACAATATTATAACGGGTGCACAACCAAAATGGCTGGCGAAGTTGTAGTTGACGCGCTGCCTTATTTTGATCAGGGTTATGACGAAACTGGAGTTCGTGACGCGGTAAGGAAATAAATTACATGAAGTTTTAACTTTACTTTATCCAGTTACGTTGTTATTTGTAATATTTTATTTCAGATTTCCGGTAAATTCACAAAAACAAGAAAATTATAGGTTTCGAAGTACTAAAAATTTTATTTATAAAATTTTACGTAAGGGAAAGATGGCATTGTGGTAGCTGGCAAAGGTGTCAGCTTATAAACCTAACGATTTTGGATTTTAACCGAGCCTTACCCGTTCATGACATTGTTACTTAGCTATAGCAAATTCAATGATGCTGTCCCCTAAATTACAGTAGAAACAACCAATTTTCAATCACAACCTAAATTCAAACACATTCTTAATTCTGTAGCGCTTTTGCTATGTCTGACAAAATAGTGATTATTCTAGCGCGGAATGACAGGGCGCTCCGCCCTGCCCCTTTTTAGGTCCGCCCTTTTGCCTCTAAAACACCGCCCGTATACTGAAATGCGCCCCGCTGCCCTCTTTTACCTGTACCCAATCAATATGTATAAGATAGATCTACATATTTTAAAACCTGTCAATCACTTATCTATAAGATAAGATTATGATGTTGACACGTTCCAATATACAACCCTGGTGCCCCACGGCGATAACAGTTGACTGACCGATGTGAAGTGGGCCGTGTGAAGCGGCCCCGTGTGAAGTGGTTTCGATCAAATTAGCTATGTTTGCTACAGTTTGAAATGATATGTAAGGAACATTACCGACTGATTGATAATCCGTGGTCATTAACTGATTAAAATGGCAATGATTTACGGAGACAATCAAATTGTAATGCATTCGCTTATTTGTTTTTTTACCAATGTCGGTAAAAAATCGTATACTGTACAACTTACAAGTACAGGTAATTACAATTAATTATTTACACATATTAATCTCTTTAATTGCGTAAAGAATCTTTAAAGTCATAAGGATGGGTGTTATGGTTTCATTAATTAGTTGTTCATTTGAGAAACAAAATGCCGTCTGCGAAAAGGAAATTTGCAGAAATTGAAAAAGAGCGTGCGAAAATTCGCAAAACAAACCACAGTATTTCCTCTTTTTTGGAGCTAAAGAAAGGTACGATAAAAGTTATTTACATTTGCTAAGAATGGATTTTAAATGTGTTTCTCCCTTGCAATTCAACATTTATATAAAAGGAGGCGACTGAAATAATTTGTGTACGAAGCCACTACACTAGCAGTACGGCCCTGGACTGAAGTACGGTCCTGTACTGCCGTACTGCAAGTAGTCCAACTTATTAGACTTGTCAAAGAGACACCGAGATAATTTTGGACGGGCGCTGTCTTTTTCCAAGTCCAACCACGAACTGCATTTTTATGCACGGACGCTTCCCAATTAGAAGTTGTTGGGAGCGAAAACTAGAAAAGTTTCAAAGAAACGGTCTACATTACCTGAAAGAGAATCGTTTTTTATGCAAGGTTCCAAATTATCATACTTCAAAGTCGAACAGAAGTCTAAATATTCCACTTTAATTTTTTTAATCGTTGAAAATTATTGAAAGCGGCCATATTGGAAAGCGGTGTCATGGTAAAATTGTAAACACTGGTAAAATCCATGGTGTAACACAGGTATCGGCGGCAATCGATTGTATTTGCCAAGCTTTATTATACAATTTGTTTATGTTATTTATATGAATTATTGCAGGAATAACTCTTTTATTCACACACAAATATTTAGCATTAAAAAGAGAATGTGTAAAGGAAATTATGATAACCTTACTTAGAAATTAAATAGTTTATGATGTCCGATGTCAGATCATACTGCATTTAAGTCCGTTTAAATTGTCAAATTAGATATTATTAAGTTGGATTTTTTAACATCTGTGATCATTAGGTGAAATTTCTGAACTACCTTTTTATTTTATAACCCTGCCATAATTTCCCACATACGAAAATACAATGTAATTGTAGGTACATCTTAATGAATTATAATTATACTATACATGATGAAGCAAAGAAGAATTTCAATTTATATTACACTCCATATCAATTTCTAGTTTATTATCTTTAAAAGAAATTGAGGACGGTTGTGTATGGGAAGAAGTTCAAAACAACCAAAAATAACTTTAAAACTCTGAGAAAAAATCTTAAAATTTCTAACTATAAAATGGAATTTCAGACAGTCCTCAGTAAAATACCATTGTCGCACAGATTTGACGGGGTTTATGATAAAAACACAGCAAGCGGAAATTTAGTGACCGTTATTTAGATGTTGAATAGCATAACAATGTAAGACAGATGGGAGAAATGTTGGAACGACTGTCGCAAAAGGCACCAAAACCTCTGATACCCATTAAAAATTCCATGTTATCTAGTTCCCGTTGAACGGCACCTCGAATGTGTCACATTGAAAGTTCCATGATTACCGCCGTATTATGTACACATCTGTGGATGTTGATTAAAAATTTCAACATTATTATGTTTAAGTGATCAATTCTGTTTAAACTGGCGAAAGGGAGCACTTGAACCTACCAGAGCCGTCTTTGGCACTCCTGTGTATTTATGTTTCTATTTTGCAGTTTCAGGCATTTTTGGTGGGTTTTTTTGGAGGGTGGATACATGAATGTGGATAAGTTTTTTCTGTTTCTTTACATTTCTCTGCTTGCTTGCCGAACCTTGTATTGATAATCATTATCTGTTTGTTACGGTTCGGTATACATGTATACAATATGATAAACAAGGTGAACAAGGAAAGGCGGCGTTCAATGAACGCAAACCCCACCCGACCCAGGAACATGAACCATTGGCAAGGAGCCCAGGAGGATCCTAAATTAAAACGGGAAAGGGCGCAAGAGAGAGCACGGTCAGGCTTATCACTAAAATGTAACTGAGAAGGAAATCAAAGAAAATAAATAAATGAATGATTAATAGGACCACTAAGTTAACGAGCACAGGGGAAGGGGATAGGAAATTCGGGGAGGGGGCGAAATAAAGAAATAAAACTAGGGGCAAAGGGAAGATACTTACCAAAGACGAAAAAACAACAAAGGACACAAACAAAAGTGTCACCAAAACAGTATGAAACAGGACCACTAAGTTAACGGGCACAGGAGAAGGGGATAGGAAATTCGGGGGAGGGGGCGAAATAAAACTAGGGGCAAAGGGAAGAAACTTACCATAGACGAGAAAACAACAAGGGACACAAACAAAAGTGTCACCAAAACAGTATGAAACAGGACCACTAAGTTAACGGGCACAGGAGAAGGGGATAGGAAATTCGGGGGAGGGGGCGAAATAAAACTAGGGGCAAAGGGAAGAAACTTACCATAGACGAGAAAACAACAAGGGACACAAACAAAAGTGTCACCAAAACAGTATGAAACAACAAGACATACACCTTATACAATTTATAAGTCTCTTAATCTGTTCATTTGAAAATTCTGATCTTCTCAATGACTTTTTTTTTAATATCCTCTACTTAAAATTTATTTCAATTAAAATATGTGACCCTTCCTTTATAGTTAGTTACACAGCATATGGCTGGATCACAATAAAGTTCCTTTTTAGTAAATTAATAAAGAACATCAAGAAGACATTTAACTTTATCAATAGGTTTAATTTGGTATTATATATCGGCAATCGGTGAAAAAGAGCTATTGAAATATTATTTGTACAAATACTGAATAATTTGAAGTGTATTTCAAATAGTTTCCTTCAATATTTCTTTTACGTTCTTAATTGTCATATAAATATGCATGTATAAATGAAGTCAGTATTTTATCCGAGAGTGACATTTGGCAGTCATTAGCAGTGAACAAGAAGGCAAACCACCAATTGATAAATGTTGAGTATATGGATTAAAATATTTAAAAAATATTAAACAACAGTACTTGTACAGAGCCTATTTGCGACCATTGCATTTTAGGTTAAATACAATGATACTTTTCAATAGTATTTGATAATGCACATATTTATTAAAAAATAATGAATAGATTTATTTCCCCCGATATTTCGTTTAATTTAATCTTCATGCGTAACCCACACTTACCTGCTAGACACACTGGTAGCTACTACCAGCTTTCACGGAATCGATTTTTTACGATGACGTCATAACATGTCCGCCTAAGATATAGTAGACAGTACAAATTTGAAATAAATCGCATGTATGCGTTAAGACAGGTACAATCTACTATTTTTTCTAGGAGAAGTTAGTACTAAAATTTATATTCTATTGATCTTTAGAGGTAATTGAAGTTACTTTCAGGTTTAAGCAGTAAAAATCAGTCCAAACTATCGATAGTGTTACCGGTAGATTTTCCGTGCGTAAAAATGACAGTTAAAATTAGGCGTAACGGTTTGACAGTAAGAAAAATCAAAGCACTGAAAGTACTGAAGTATACATTGCTTGATAATATAATCCATTTTTGTCATCTCACTGACCTCGAAAACAATAGGGGTCATCTTCTGACCAAGGTCAATGTCCCTAACAAGTGACTCACATGCACCAAGGCTTTTTTCTTCCAAAATTATTTATGAGACAAGGAAGATGTGATGTTCCATCTGTGTATTGCTAGGCAAGCTGATAGATGAGCAATAAAAGAAATCATTTTTTGAAACACCCGTTAAATGGACTGCAGTATAGTATATTGAAACAGTCATATTGAGTCTCCAGTGATGCTATCCAATAAAATACATGGTCTGGCTTGAACTCTATACAAAGTCAATTAATTGAATCATCCTACAAGGCTTAATTACCAAATTATAGTACGTCTATGTACTGTACTTTGATGCATTAATACATATATTCCGGTGTGTTGTACTAATAACTACACATTAATTTTCAAATGCATTACTTTATCGTTTATTAATAAAAATGAAATCTATAATCAAAACAATTCAAATGTACTGTAATATTTTCATTATTCAATAATTGTTACATATAGTCTTCATATACAACCTTTCCAAGAAATTCATTTATATTTGACAGCAAGTTAACAAGGGTTCCATAATCAGGCTGTGTTACCAACTTCTTAACTT